ACAACTGATGGTGCTCCTAGCATGGTGGGGTCTAAGAAAGGAGTAATTGCTCGCATTAACCAAGAGATGGACAAACATAACCATTCTCATCCAATAGGCATACACTGCCTCATCCACCAACAAGCGCTGTGTAGTAAATCACTGAAGTGGGACTGTTATGAAAATTGTGGTATCTGGTGTTAACTTCATTAGAGCTCATGCACTAAACCACAGACAATTTCAGGAATTTCTGTCTGAGCTAAATGTTGACTATGAAGATGTTCTGTACCACACAGAAGTCCGTTGGCTGAGTCGAGGGAGAGTTTTGAGACGTTTCTATGACTTACTTCCACAGATTACAGCTTTTCTGCTTTCAAAAAACAAAGAAGTACCAGAGCTCAATGATGCAGAATGGAAATGGCACCTTGCCTTTCTGACAGATGTAACAGAGCTACTCAACAGTTTCAATGTGCAACTTCAAGGAAAGGGGAAGCTCATCTGTGATATGCAATCACATGTCAAAGCATTTGAAGTAAAATTAGGCCTCCTCATCAAACAAGTGAAGGAGGAAAACTTCTGCCATCTCCCCACAACTCAAAATCTATTAGCGGAAAAACCATTGGTTGCATTCCCAAACGAAACATGTGTGGATTCACTGGAAAAATTGCAAAAGGAGTTCCAATTTAGATTTAAAGAGTTTCATCTCCATGAACAGGACATACAGCTTTTCCGTAACCCATTTTCTATTGACATTGAAAATGTGGATACAATTTACCAAATGGAACTGGCTTAACTGCAGAATTGTGACTCTCTGAAAGACGCATTCAAGTCAAGCAGCCTTCATAATTTCTATGCATCTCTCCCATCTGAGACATATCCTCATCTCAGGAACCATGCACTCAAAATGGCAACCATCTTTGGCAGCACTTATGTCTGTGAATAGACTTTTTCCAGAATAAAACATTTGAAATCTCCAACCAGATCTAGACTAACGGATGCACACTTGCATCACTTGTTACGACTAGCAGTGACAAATATGGAAATGGACATTGACCATCTCATTAGCCAAAAGCAGGCCCATAGTTCCCATTGAAATACTGGCAAGTTTGTTGATTTAACTTTACTTGTTCTTCATTTTAAATATTGTATTTGTTCCCGTTTTGTTTCTTCACTTCAAAATAAGATATATGCAGTGTGCATAGGAATTTGTTCATAGTTTTTTTTTAACTATAGTCCGGCCCTCCAACGGTCTGAGGGACAGTGAACTGGCCCCCTGTTTAAAAAGTTTGAGGACCCCTGCTCTAATATACACTACACTATGCACTACTATACACTAAATTACTATACACTACTATACACTAATATCAGTACGGCGCTTGTGTCACGTTAGCAGCTAAGTAACGAGTTAAATTAGTTCCGAGTTAAGTACTAAACCATGTGTGTTTTGGAGAGTTAACCCACTACAACATTTACATATTTGAGTTACAAAATTAGTTACTAGTTAAACACTAACTAGGTGTGTTTTGGAGCATTAACCCACTACAACATTTACATATTTGAATAAAAAATGTGTTATTAGTTAAGAACTAACCAAGTGTGTGTTGGAGAGTTAAACCCACTACAATATTTACATATTTGAGTAAAAAATGTGTTACTAGTTAAGAACTATCCAAGTGTGTTTTGGAAAGTTAAACCACTACAACATATACATATTTGAGTTACAAGTTAATTTTAAACCAGGGTCTCGTTGGAGAGTTAAACCACAACAACATTTACTCACGATTCAAGTTATCGAATTAGTTACTAGTTAATCACTAACCAGGTTATACCCTACGTGTTAAGGAGACATCCTAAACTTAACTAAGCTAATGAGCAGAACTGGCTATCACCAATGCTATCACCATCGTAATGGCATTGAACTCTATAGCAGCAGGCACATACTGTAAACTCGTGTTTTTACAGATGCATAGCGACTCAATGAGACCCACAGAGACCGATACTCATAGAGACACACAAAGACCCACAGAGACCCATACTCATAGAGACCCACAGAGACCCACAGAACACACAAATACCATACTGACAGAGACCCACAGATACCCACAGAGACCCAAATAGACCCAAAGAGACAAATACTCATAAAGACCCATATAGAACCACATAAACCATACCCTTAGAGACCCATAGAGACCCACACAGACACACAGAGACCATTGATAACCATTTAGACACACATAGACCCATTGAGACCCATAGATATCCCCATAGAGACCCATACTCAAAGAAACTTATGCTGACTCACAGACTCCATACTCATAAAGATCCATAGAGACACTTAGAGACAGACATACACCAAATTGAGATGCATAGAGCCCCATAGATGCCCACACGCATAGAGACCAATACAGACCCACACAGACCCATTATCAGAGATCCACAGAGACTAATACTCATAGAGACTCATACAGACCTATAGAGACCCATAACCATAGAGACCCACAGAGACCCATTGAGACCCATAGAGACCCACAGAGACCTATTGAGACCCATTGAGACCCATAGAGAAACATAGAGATCCATAGAGATCCATACTCAGAAACCCATAGAGACCCACACAAATCCATACTCATGGAGACCCATAGAGACCCATATATATACACATAAACCCATTGAGACTAATAGAGACGCACAGAGACCCATAGAGAGCCACATAGATCCATATTCAGAGACCCAGAGACCCTTACTCATAAAGACCCATACAGACCCGCAGAAACCCATGCTCATAGAGACCCACAGAGATCCACAGAGAACCACAGATATCCACAGAGACCCATACTTATAGAGACCCATACAGACACTCAAAGACCCAAACTCATAGAGACCCATACGGACCCACAGAGATCCATACTCAGAGACCCATGAATAACCATTTAGACCCATACAGGCCAACAGAGTCCAGACCCATACTCATAGAGATCCACAGAAACCCACACTCAGAGACCCACAGAGATCCATAATCAGGAAAACCCATATAGACCCACATAAATCCATTCCCTCAGTGACTCATAGAGAACAATAGAGACTCATACTTATAGAAACTCAGAGCCCCAGAGACTCATACTCATAGAAACCCACACAGACCCACAGAGACCCATACTCACAGACCCACAGAGACCCATACTCATAGAGACCCAAACTGACCCATAGATACCCATACTCATAGAGACCCAGAGAGACCCAGAGACCAATGGACACCCACAGAGACCCACACTCAGAGACACCATCAGAGACCCACATAGACCCTTACTCATAGAGACCCACAGAAATTCATACTAATAAGGACACACAGAGACCCACAGAAACACTTAATCATGAAGACCCATAGAGTACCATAGACAGCCATACTCATAAGCACCCATACAGACCAACAAAGACCCATACTTATAGACAGCCCTGCAGATCCAGAAAGACCCATTCTCATACAGAGCCATATATACTTAAAGACCCAGAGAATCCCATACTAAAAGACTGAGACCCACAGAGATCCATACTCATAGAGAAACATGGATACCCATACTCGTAGAGACACACAGAAACCCATAGAGACCCCAAATCATGAAGACACACAGAGACCCACAGAAATATATAATCATAGAGACCCATAGACATCAACAGAGACCCATAATCATAGTGAACAGACCCATATTCGTAGAGAATCATATAGAACCAATAGAGATCCATAGACTCAAAAGAGTCCCACAGAGACCCAGAGACCTATAGATGCCCTTGAAATCCATAATCGTAGAGACCCATAGAGACCCACAGAGCCCCAGAGACTCACAGAATCGACCTGGGTCATCACACATGATAGCAGCTCAATCAAGTGGCTGATCTCATCATCATCATCATCGTCACGTGGACGCTCATAGCAGCAGACAAATCCTCCATACGCGTGTTTCTACACAAACCCATAGAGATACATGTTTATGCAGACCCACAGAGACCTAAATTGAAGACCCATACAGACTCAGAGACTTATTCTCATAGAGACCCATACAGACCCACAGAGACCATTACTCAGAGACCCACACAGACCCATACTCACAGAGACCCATAAATACTCGTAGAGATCCATATTCACAGAGACCCATACAGTCCCACAGAGACCCATACTCATAGAGACCCATGTAGACCCACAGAGACCCATACTCAAAGAGACCCATACAGACCCACAGAGACCCATACTCATAGAGACCCATACAGATCCACAGAGACCCATACTCATAGAGACCCATGCAGACCCAGAGACCATTACTCATAGAGACCCATACAGACCCAAAGAGACCCAAACTCATAGAGACCCATACAGACTCACAGAGACCCATACTCATAAAAAACCCATACAGACACCCATAGATACCCGGTAGTGGATGCCGTGAGGCTTACGTCCTTTCCACAGTCAACGTGTGGTGATGGCGTTGTTATCTTTGGTACCCTTAGCATATTGTTAGCGGCATCACCATTAGCGACATCCGATGAGCATCAGCAGTGTTAAGTTTCTGTTGTGGTACGGAGTGCATTGGAGATACGGTGGGTGGGTCTGAGATCTGACAGTGGATGCAGTAAGTTTTTAGATCTTCACACAATCATTGGTGGTGGCGTTACCTTCGGTGGCCTTAACTTTTGTCATCGACATCGTCAGTAGCAACGGGGGATGAGCATCATCAATGTCGAGTTAGCAGAATGAGTGTCGTGGTACGGAACGCGTTGGAGACACGGTGAGCATGTCTGAGATAGCGGAAGCTGTAAGGCGTACAGTCATCGCACAGTGGGGGTATTAGCTTTGTTACCCTTAGCTCATTGTCATCGACATCATCAGTAGCAGCTCAACGTTCAATTGGCGTCAGTGTGGTGGTGCGGAGTGCATTGGAGATACGGTGAATGCCGTGGGGCTTACGATTTAGCACAGTCAGTGTGTGGCGTTGCCATCGTTATCTTTGGGCTCAACGTTTCTCTCTCACTTAAAATCCCAGCGTCCTCCATCCTCAGCTCTAGCAGTCGGAGCCACACCGAGCCCCTGCCACCGCTCCCGATGACGAATCCCGGGCTCAGCTCCACCCTGGCCCCGTATCGAACTTTGGCGGAGTCCGGGAGGAGCCAGATGGCGGTGGAGGCATCGTAGGAGGCCAAGCGTTCGTTGCCCCGCGTCTTGAACCACGTGGCTCTCGCCACCTCGCAGGCGCCATGCCCGGTGTCCTGGGAGGTGATGCGGAACGAGAGGTTGGCCGAGGAGCCCGCGGTAGCCGTGACCACGTCCGGATCGGCGCTCAAGCGGCACTCTGCAACGGCATCGGAGGGTACAGAGGGGTTGGTTGGGTAGAGCCGCGGGGTGGTGGTGGTGGTCATAGTGTGATGGTGGTGGTGTTGGAATAATCAGGGTTGGTACGATAAAAATATCAACATACACACATATTGGGGCATGTATGGTGGTGGTTGTCGTGTTATAATCAGTCTTGGTACGAAAGAAGTTTAACATCAATATAGGGGTATGTGTGGTGGTACTATAGAAGTGCAACATGCATACATATTGGTGACATGTTTCATGGTGATATTAGCAGGGTTGGTACGAAAGAAGTTCAACATACACACATATTGGGGTATGTATTGTGGTTTGTGGTGGTTATCAGGAACGGTGTCAGGATTGGGATAAAAATGTCAGGGGTCAGGGTCCAACCCACAACCTCCTGTACACCAGGCAAGGTAGTTAACATCTCCCTAGCCACAAACGCTTAGTGGTTTTACGCTCTTCATTGTTGAAGATAATGCAAACTAACTTGCAAATTGAATACATATTTAGCTGTTATATGTTGACGAGTTTAAATACTTCATTGATGAAGATCGTGACATCAATTTGCAATTAAATAAGAATAATTATTTAGCGGGTAGATTTTTTACGAAGTTATTGTTCAAGATAATGAAATTAATTAGTGATTAAAATAAGAATAGTATTTTTGCTGTTACATTTTGACGAGTTAAAGCTTTTCATTTTTGACGTTGATGACATTAATCTGTGATTTAAAATAAAATTAAAACGATTTAGCCGCCACTTTTGACAAAATTTATTACCACTTCATTGTTGAAGAAAGTTCAATTAATTTGTAATTTAAATAAACATTTATCTGCTATTTTCTAATGAGTTGAAGCTCATGATGAATGAAAAATATGAACTCAATTTGTCATTTAAAATAAAATTTAAACGATTCAGCTGCCAATTTTTGAAGAAGTGTATTACCACTAATTTGTTGAAGAAAGTGAAGTCAACGTGTAATTTAAATTAGAATAATAATTGACCTGTTAGGTATTGACGAGTTTATGCACTTAAGTGTAGCTAAAAATGTAACGAATTTGTAATGAAAATAAAATAAACATTTAGCTGATACGTGTTGACGAGTTGAAGCACATCGTTGTTGAGGAAAATGAAGTAAATTTGTGATTTTTAAATAAAACAAGTTTAGCTTTCATGCTTGGCGAGTTCAAGATCTTCATTGTTGAAAATGAATAAATTAATTCGTGATCAAAATATATTAGAGGAGTGTAGCTGTTATATTTTAACGAGTTTATTAACCCTTATTTATCTAAAAAATAATAATTAACTTGTGATACAAAGATACTTACTTAGTTTTTACTTTGTAATGAGTTTAAGCTGTAGATTGTTGAAGGTAATGACGTAAATTTACGATATAAAAAAACAGTAAACATTGGCCGTTACATTTTAACGAGTGCTTTAAGCTCTTCATTGCTGACAAATATGAAGTTAAATTTGTGATTTTAAATGCGTTGAAAAGGGTAAATAAGCTGTCGCATGTCGACGAAGTGTCCGGGTTTGCGTGCTAGTGCGCCCTTGCAAAGCGTTAACAACCAAACCAAAGCGAACTCTAAATGTTGAATTAAACTTAAGGGTTACTGATCAAAACGTTGACATTGGGCGGAATTTAAATAATTAACAACTACAAAATGAAGTAGTTGAACTGCTGAGATGAGTTCTCAATGTTGTAGAGATTTAAAGAATTAAAGATAAAATTTGTCAGTTAATAAACTGTGTGAATTGAATAATTATCATCATCACATCATTATCATCATCACATTATCTAAGGGCAGATATCCCGTTAGTAGAGAACCATGGACTCACACAGAGACCCATAGATGCCTCACACGGAGAAACCCACAGACTCACAGAGAGGCCCATAGATTCACGAAGTAACCAACTGACTCACACATAAACACACTCACATAGAGACCCATAGATTCCCCACAAAACGACTAATAGACTCACGCAGAAATCCATAGACTCACGCAGAGACCAATAGACTCACACAGAGACTGATATACTCCCACAAAGAACCATAGTTTTAAACAGAAACCGGTATACTCACATAGAGACCCACAGACTGACACAAAGACCCATAGACACACGTATAGACACATAGACTCACACAGAGACACATCAGATACCCAAAGGTTTAAACAGATACCCATTGATTCACACAGATACCTATAGACTCAAACCGAGACCGATAGACTCACACATTTACACATAGAAGCACATAGATACCCATATGCAAGCACTGAGGCCTGTAGACTCACAAAGAAACACGTATACTCAAAGAGAGACCCATCGACTCATTACACAGAGACCATTCGACTCATGGAGACACTCAGGCTAAAACAAATAACCACAAACTCGCACAGAGAACCATAGACTCATACAGATACCCAAAGAAGTACACAAAGACCCGTAAACTCATACAAAGACCCGTGGACTCAGACAGAAACACAGACTCACACAGAGACCCATCGACTCACCACACAGAGACAATTAGACTCACACAGAGACCCATAAATGCACACAAAAACCCATATACTCACACAGAGACCCATATACTCACAGAGAGAGTCATAGACTTACATAGAGAACCATAGACTCACACAGAAACAAATAAACGTACACAGAGACCCATAACCTTGCACAAAAACCCATCGACATAAGCAAAGACAAAGACCCTTTGTATAGCCTTAACAAACTGTTGGGGCAAATGCTGTTAGCAAGCACCTATAAAGGCCGGCACTGCACACGAGGAAGTGGGTGGCCAACACCACACCCAGACGCCTTTGTCTTCCCAGTGGCAATCTTTACACACTGCACCAGGTACTCATTTGAGGCTGGTTTGACCTATTGGAGCCCCAGAACCGGTTCAGATAATCGTCACTGGTGTTAGCCATGAGCAGGAATTAAACCTGAGTCGCTGGGTTCATAGTGCAGCGTAGTGCGACCTGCTACACTACCGCTCCCCACACTGCCGACTCAAGAAGAGAGACACATATACTCACACAAGGTCCCATAATCTAACAAAAAGACCCACAGACTCATGTAGAGACCCATACAATCACAAAGAAACCCATAGACTCACACAGAGTCACAAAGACTGAAACAGAATACCATAGACCCACAGAGAGCGCCATAGACTCACACACAGACCTATAGACACACATAGACAAATAGACTTACACAGAGAAGCATAGACTTACACATAAACCCATATAATCAGAAAAAAACCCATAGACTCACACAAAGTTCCATCAGTGTTCCACACATAGAACCTTAGAATCAATCAGAGACCCTTTAGGTAAAAAAATAGAACCATAGACTCACACGGAGTCACGTAGACTGACAAAGAAACCGATTGACTCGCAGAGACCCAAAAACTCACACAAACACACATAGACTCACACAAATACAAATAGACGCACATAGAGAATCATATACCCACACAGAGACCCATCGACTCACACAGGGACCCATAGACACACACATGTACACATAGATGTACATAGAGAACCATATACTCACACAGAGACCCATCGACTCAAGCGGGGATACATCGACACATACAGAAACACACAGATTCACACAGAGATCCATATACTCACTTAGAGGCCCATAGTCTCATGCAGAGACCCATAGACTTACATTGAGATGCATAGACTCTCACAGAGACCCAAAGATTCACACAGACACCCATAGACTCCCAGAGAAAGCTGTGGACTCAAACAGAGACCTATAAACACACATGAAGGTAAATAGACTTACACAGAGACCCAGACTCACATTGAGAGCCATTGACTCACACAGAGACCTATTGACACACATAGAGACACATTGACTTAGAAAGAGACCCATAGACTCACACATAGACCAGTTCAAATCGATAGCCTTACACAGAGAAACATAGACTCACATTGAGAGGCATTGACTCAAACAGAGACCTATAGACACAAAAATAGACAAATAGACTTACACAGAGACCCATAGACTCAGACATAGACTCATAGGATCCCAAACGACACATATGCTCACACAGATACCTAAATTATCACACAGATTCCTCACACAACAGCTAAAAAAATCACAGAGACGCATATTCTCACACAGAGACCAACACAACTCACACAGAGACCCGTAGACTCACACATAGACCCATAAACTCACACAGAGACCTATCGACTCACGCAGGCATCCATAGACTCACACAGAGAACTATAGACACATATAGAGACAAATAGACTCACAACGAGGCCCGTAGATTCACACATAGACCCATAGAATCACGAAAAAAAACATAGGCTCACACAGATACACAAAGACTAACACAGATTCCTCACACAGCAACTAAAAGAATCACACAGAGACCCATAAACTTACAAATACACCCATAAACTCACACAGAGACCCATAGACTCGCACAGAGACCCATAGGCTTACATAGAGTACAATAGACTCACACAGAGACCCTTCGACTCACGCAGGGATCCATAGACTTACACCGAGACCCATAGACACACACACAGACCCATATACTCACACATAGACCCATAGAATCACAAAAGACCAATAGACTCATACAGAGGACTATAGACTCACACAGAGACCCGGAAATAAATACAGAGACACCTAGACTCAGATAGAGTCACATAGATTCACACAGAGGCCCATCAATGTACCACAAATAGAAACTTAGAATCACTCAGATACCGTTTATGCAAAAAATAGAAACATAGACTTACACAGAGTCCAATAGACTAACAAAGAGACCCACAGTCTCATGCAGATACCCATATAATCAAACATAAACCATAGACTCACACAGACACCCATAGAGTCACAAAATATCCACAAATCTCACACAGAGACAAATAGACTCGAACAGAGTCTCATCGACTCACGTAGGGATCAGTAGACTCTCACAGAGACGTGTAGATGCACACCGAGACCCATAGACTCATGCAGAGACCCATAGACTCACATAGAGTCACATACACTAACAAATAATCCCATGGACTCACACAGAGACCCATAAACTCGCACAAAGAACCATATTCTCGCAAAGAGACCCATAGACTCACACTATGACCCATACATGAATACACATACCCCTAGAATCACATAGAGTAACACAGAGACTGATTGATTTACCACACATAGCACCTTAGAATCAATCAGAGAACCCTTATGGTAAGGAATAGAACCATAGACTCATGCAGAGACGCATAGAATAATAAAAAAAACCATAGACTCACACATAGACCCAAAGACATACAGATACCCAGACTCACAGAGAGCGCCATAGACACACATACACATAGACCCATAGACTCACACATAGACCGATAGAATCACAAAACGAGCCATAGGCTCACACAGTGACCCTAAGACTTGCAAAGAGATCCACAGACTAACACAAAGACCATTATAAATCCATATATTTACAAAGAGACACATAGACTAACATTGAGACCCATTTACTCACACAGATACCCATAGACTTACATTGCGAATAATAGACTCACACAGAGACCTATCGGCTCACACAGAGACCCCTAGACTCACGCAACGAACCGTAGACTCACATAGAGACACATATACTCATACATATACCCAAAAACTCACGCAGAAACTCATAGTCTGACGCAGTGACACATAATTTCACTCGGCAACACACAGACCTCAATTGAACTCCACCCACTGAGTGGACAACAGAACCACAACCAATCAGACATCAATCAAATTCCACCCCTACATGGATTATAGCAGAGCCACAGCCAATCAATCAATCGAACTCAGCACATTAAATGGATGATACAAGAGCCATAGCCAATCAACGTCAATCAAACTCTGCCCCACCTTGTGTAAAGGTATTGCAACTACTGTACTGTAGATGGTGCGAGCACGTATATTTCAAATAAACTGGAGCAAAGTATTTGTTTAGTTTGAGGACCCTGATTTGACTTGTACATAAATCATCTCCAAGAATAACAATGAACATAACTGGTTCATTATATTATTAATTCGGACTCAAGAAGACATGAACTCACGTGAAAATCTGAGGCGCTCCGCAGTTAATGCGCAAATTAAATAAACCGCTAATACACAGGCAATCGATATTATAAACCTATTATTATTTGCTTTGAATGGTAGTTCGACATTTGATTGGATTATCGAGTCGAGTGTAGGTAGATCCCCCTCCTCTTAACGACTGTGATTGGTTCATACGAAACTGGCCATTGAGTGGTTTGGCTTAATTCATTCCAATGGCATTGAAAGTTACACCCCCATTTCTGACCCAGAGCAAACATACCTTGTAACATTTACACAATGGATTTTAACACGTGAATATACTAAAAACATAACGAACACATGACATTAAATGAAACGTGGTAAATCAATGCATTAATTCATATTTCACGCACCTTCAACAGCTCATCGTTTACAGGGGAATTGTCGGTAAGCGAACACATTGGGCTCTATTGAGGCACTACATACACGATACACTACTATACAATACCTTCCACTATACACTAATATGTGCACTACTAAATACAACATTACTATGCACTAAGCTACCATACACTACACTACACATAACACTATACACTACATTACTTTACACTACACTATACACTACACTATACACTACAATGTATTCTACAAAACACTACACTATTATACACGACACTACTCTACACTAGACTGATATATACCACACTACTATACACTACACTATACACTGCACTACTATATACTACACGATACACTAAAATACTATATACTGTACTATACACTACACTAAATACTCCACTGTATTCTATAGTATAGAGGAGTAGTGGGAGGAAGTGAGGAATCGGCAGGAAAGAGTGGGATGACGTCATAGCTTGGCGTCATGTATTCATAGGGGCAAGGTACTTAGGGGGGACCCCGGGGTGAGGGGCGGGGTCGTTGTGGGGAGCCGAGGGAATGGAGGATGACACGCCGGAACGGAAGATACGCCGCTCGACACCGAGACCCTCGTCCGGGGTCGGAGTGGGATTAGTCTGGAGTTTAGGTCAGGATAGGCTGAGGACTTAAGAGGGTACTGGGACAGTCCACGGGAAGGACCAAGTGTAGAAGAACCTACCTCTGGTGTGATCCTGTCATCCTGTACGTGAGTGTAGTAGTTAATAAACTGGCAAAACCCCTTACAGAGAATCTCGTCTCCATGTGAGTTACACCACAACATGAGTATGAAGTGATCACGAACCTGCAACGTCACGTCCAAGTCGGTGGCGAAGCGCAAGTACCATCCAGTAGAGAGATTGGAGAATGAGGCAAGCTCAGAGGAGGCGCCCACAACGTCCCCGGGACCCGGAGATGCGCCCTGGGGAAGTTGGCCCATCGACCGGAGTGGAGGTGGCAGCCGCGACCACAGCCGTTTCATCATCATCGCGGGAGAGCTGGAATTTACTCACCTCCCAGTTCGGACAGCTGCTGTAGACGACTGCTCAGCTCGCCACTGTGATGATGGAGGTGGGTGCCCAGTCGCGCGCAATCATCGAGCTTCTGGAGCGGGATCGCGCGCATCCCGCTGCCATTTCCCTTCCTGCCACATCACAGTTTCGCAACAATTCTTCCATCAGCGCGGGACTCGGGCGCCATCTTGCACTCCGGTGCGCCACCGCAAACGGATGCCATTTTGCACGTGAAGCGGGCGACACTGTACATACGACTCAGCAACCGGGCACCATTGCCCCGGCTCCAGCGACGCCGCTATGCATTAATTCTGGAGCGCAATCGCCGGCCCTTTCTTCCAACTCATTATTTTTGTGACGCTCGCCGCCCGTGCGCCCTTTTATCGCTGCCGCGGGTGACTGGGCGTCATTTTGCGACCGCTTTGATGCGGCCTACATCTCTGTCGGGTGGCCCATGGAGGAAGCACTTGAAGCCCTCCCGACGGCCCTGGATGACAACTCTCTTGCAGAATTTAATTCCATCATGCCTACAGACAGGGCGACGCTTCCTATGGCGTACACGCAGATGGCGGCCATCTTCGAGCCGCTTTCTAGCGCTCGCCAACAGTTCCTGACGCGGCAGCAGGAGGATACCGAAAAGCCTCTCGCGTTCAGCAGCGCCTTGCTGGCGCTGGCCCGGGCCGCTTACACTAGCATGGATGCGGCGGCACGAGATTTGTTGGTCCTTGAACGCCTGATATTCCTCGCACGTGAGCTCGGGGTTAGCCCTGTCAGTGGCAGACGAGGCAGATGTCTCATCCCTCAAAGTGGCATAAAGGTATTCAGGCGCACCTCAGCCTGCGCCAGCCACCCGGGGTTGTGCGGGGGCCCTGAGTAAAGTGATGGCCGTCACGCTGGGAGACGAGGACCACGACCACCTCGTCGCCTTCGCTGCCCGCGATTGACGGGGGAGAGGTTTCAGAGGCTGATGGCCGGACCAGCAGTGGCACCCGAGATCATCCCTTTTGCAGCGGACGGTGTCCACCATTTATTTACGCTGCGGTCAGGCGGGCCACATTGCTGTGGGCTGCCGCAACCCTGGGGGGGCCTTCAGCGGATCCTTGTCGTCCTCCCCCTCCACATCAGCGTTGTCCTCGGAGCCGCAGAAAAGTCGCGACGCATCACTCTACCGGCCGCTCCCTCCACCTCACACACGCAGTGGGGATGAGGCTCATATTCACCAGATCACCTCCCAAAGTTCTGTCTCACGTTGTACTCGCTCGCCGTCGGTATCCGGGTGGCCCACACGTGTCCATCAATGGGCTGCACTCACTCATTGTGTTGTGGCGGCCGCAGTGCGGCTTCTTCCGCGGTCGCAGGTTACATGCAAAGGGTGGAGGTTTGCATTTTGGTGGACATGGGGGCATCGGCCACGATTATATCAGAATGCATTTTTGAGTTGCTACCACGCAGCGTTGGTCCACTGAGACCTGTGCAGGAGGCATGTGTTGCCACAAATGGGGGCAGTCTGGGTATAGTGGGCCATATTGTGGCATCCATTCGAGTTGGGGACATTCAACTGGAGGGTCCTGTCTTGGTCTCTAAGACGCTCGCAGTGACCTGCCTCTTGGGCACAGACTTCTTGGCCAAAATGCCCATGAAGATACTCATCGACCAGGGTTGCGTCGAGTTACTATCAGGCCAGAGATTGACCTTCATGAATTCTCCTATGGTGTTTGCGGCCAGTGTAACCAGTGTTTGTGCTTTTGCTAGGGATTCCTTGACTATCCCGCCAGTATGACAGATGCTCATACCCTTGAGGCTGCGCGGGAACTTACAATTTCAGACTCTGGAGGCGGGCATCCTCTTAATGCCCCCCAACTATTTCTCACAGACACCCTCCCTTGTGGGTGCCCTTCCGGTTGTGGCAGCAAATCAAGAGCCATTCGTACAAATTCTCAATGCGGGGCCCTCGCAGGTAACAGTCCCTGCGGGCACCGTTGTCGCACACACGTCCCCGGCCCTCCCACCGGTCAAGGCGATGCCTGAGGGGGTAGTGGCGGTGGTTGTGCTGCCCGAAGTGAAGTCTGACACGGCCTGGGTGGATGCACTCTGTCACGAAAACGATCTCTTGTCCCCAGACAAGCGGCGCTGGCTTCACACACTCATCACCAAATTCTCCGACGTGATTAGTCACGGAAATTTCGACATTGGCCGCACGTCCCTGCTAGAACATCACATAGAGACGAGGAATGCGGCCCCCATTCGGTAAAATTCCCATCGCTTTAGCCCAAGGGAGAAGGAGCATGTCCGCTCAGCCATCGATGACATGTTGGCAGCAGTCATTATCTTTCCTTCAAATAGCCCGTGGGGAGCCCCTATCGTTTTGGTAAAAAAACGGATGGGAGTCTCCGTTTCTGCGATGATTTCCGTAAGTTAAACAAGATTTTGGTGGCAGATGCCAATCCTCTGCCTCAGATGGATGATTTGCTTGATGTCCTCTCAGGCACGCGGTTCTTTTCGACCATTAATTTCCTTTCGGGCTTTTGGCAATTTCCATTGGACGAGGACATCAAGCATCAAACTATCTCCCGCACTCTCACGTCCATGCTGTGCCACCATGTCAACGAGTCTCAGTCGGACTGGGACTTGCTGATTCCGGGCGTCCTCGCCGCGTATAGGTTGGCCCCTCATGCCTCAACGAGGTTCTCACCCTTCTATCTGATGTACAGGAGGGAACCGGAGCCCCCAATGCAGGTGCAATTGGGTCTGCAGCCACCTCTTAAGAAATCCGCCGTGCCGGTGTTAATGAAAGGCACACTCAACGGACTGCACAATGCTCGCCAGGCGGCCATCAACAATTCGGCCAGCCGCCAAGTGGCTAACAAATGCCTACCAAGACATCAGGCTTCGGGGGTCCCATGAGTCACAGGGGACAGGGCGTGGCTCCATTGCCCGCAAGTGCCCGTCAGTACATCGCCTAAGTTTCACCGCTCTTGGCAAGACTCTGTTGACGTCGTTGAGGCCCACCGGCCACAGTGTGTATGCATTTTATTCGGTCGCCGTTATTGGATAGTCCTTCCCTCTAGGTTGAAGAGGTATGTGGCGCCTTGTTCGTTTAGTCTATCCCCATCCCCACTCACGGAGCAGCCGGATTGTGATGCATCCGACGAGCCGGGCCACCCGGCCCTGGACGCTACGTGGAATAATCTACCTACATATAAGCTCACAGAACCTCTCCGAGTAGGTCCCGCCGTCCCGCTCATGGGGCCCATGACAATGGGACCTGCACCAGCGGATGCCTCGCCAGACCCCATACCGGACGACGCCCATGGGAGCGGACCTGCAGTGTACACGTGCTCAAGGGCCGCTCGGTTTCGCTGACCGCCAGGGGCCGTCCGGCCGGCAGCCAGCCATCGCGGACATCATGGCGACGGCCGACCCGTGGAGGGGCCCTTTCCACCCCGCTGTCCTGCCTGTCTTGTTGTTCCCTGTGTCAGACATCATCTCCGCGTTGGAACCCCCAAACTCCTTCTCTTCTTCGTCATAATTACCAATTGCATGGGTGCTGATGTTACAGATTGTCTGCCAGGCCTAAAAGTTGTGTTATCAGCCGGGACGGCTGTATTTTTTATGGGGGGGGAGGAGGTGATGTAGAAGAGTAGTGGGAGGAATTGAGGAGTCAGCAGGAAAGAGTGGGATGACGTCATAGCTTGACGTCATGTATCCTTAGGGGCAAAGTACTTAGGGGGGACCTCGGGGTGAGGGGCGGGGTCATTGTGAGGAGCCGAGGGAACGGAAGACACGCCGGAACGGAAGACACACCGCTCGGCACCGAGGCCCTCATCCGGGAAAGAGTGGGATTCGTGGGAAGTATATGTCAGGATAGGCCGAGGAGTTAAGCGGGTACCGGGATGGTCCATGGGAAGGACCAAGTGTAGAAGTGTCTACCTCGCCTGTGATACGGTGATACTGTACGTGAGTGTAGTAGTTAATAAACTGGCAATAGCCCTTACAGATAATCTCACCTCATGTGAGTTAAACCACAACAATATTATACACTACACTTCTTTGCACTTCAGTATATACTACACTATACACTACACTGTTCACTGCACTACTATACACTATACACTACTCTATACACTACTTTGTAGAATGCACTATTCACTACACTACGATATACCACAGTTTACACAACTTTTACACAATTTAGACCCATACTCTTATGGACCAATAGAGACCAATAGACACCCAGACTCATAGAGATCCCATAGACACCCACAGATATCTATAGATACCCATAGAGACCCATGCTAATATAAAATCATACAGACCCACGTAAATCCATACTCATAGAGACCTCTACTAAACTCAACTAGCCTGGCACAGCAGTCAACCGATAGACACTTGCAGGGTCCGTCACGTGACCTCACTAAGCTGTGGCCTATCACAACTTGATAGCAGCTCAACCCTGTGGCTGATACCATCATCGTCATCATGTGGACATTGAAAGCAGAAGCCAGACACTCTAAACCCGTGGTTCTACAGACTCATAGTGAGCCATATAGACCCATATTGAATCACAGAGACTCATAAATACCCATATAGACTCCCAGATACTCACAGATACTCATAGAGACACAGAGACTCGTACTGACCCAATAAGCCCCCATACTAATAGAGACCCAGACTTAAACGAAGCTATATTTATAAAGCCGTGGCGGCGTTGATTCTAAATGTCGAGTGGAAAAACCGGAGGAGCTGGAGACAAATCCACGCGGTGGCCACCACGGGTAGAGAGACGCAGACTCCAACATAGACAGCAGCAGCAGGCATTGTCTGGGTCTGGGATCGAATCCACGATGCCCTGTACACCAAGCGAGGTAGTCAACATCTCTTAGACACCGTGGGCATTAGCGTCCGGGATCAAGCGCACGAGCCTCCCGCGTACCAGGCGAGGTAGTCAACATCACAACTCCCTGCGTACCAGGCGAGGTAGTCAATATCACGAACACCCACGTACCAGGCGAGTTAGTCACATAACGACCTCCTGCGTACCGGGCAAAGTAGTCAACATAACGACCTCCTGCGTACCAGGCGAGGTAGACAACATCTCCCGTGTGATTCCTA